TTTGATGAGTATTAAGTGTCCTTATCTTTTTTGATAACTTTTGGTTGAAAGTCGATTTTGTTCAATATTAGAATGGCTACGTCAGCTTGTTTCTTGGGACCATTTGCTTGGAAAATTGTTTTCCAGACTTTTAGTCTGAGGTAGTGTCTGTCTTTGTCACTGAGGTGTGTTTCTTGTATACAGCACAATGCTGGATCCGGTTTACATATCCAGTCTGTTAGTTTATGTCTTTTTATTGGGGAATTGAATTCATTGATGTTAATAGATATTAAGTAAAAGTGATTGTTGCTTCCTGTTATTTTTGTTCTTAGAGGTGGAATTACGTTTGTGGGGCTATCTTCTTTTGGATTTGTTGAAAGAAGATTACTTTCTTGTTTTTTCTAGGGTGTAGTTTCTCCCCTTGTGTTGGAGTTTTCCATCTATTATCCTTGTAGGACTGAATTTGTGGAAAGACAGTGTGTAAATTTGGTTTTGTCATGGAATATCTTGGTTTCTCCATCTATGGTAATTGAGAGTTTTGCTGGGTATTGTAGCCTGGGCTGGCATTTGTGTTCTCTTAGGGTCTGTATAACATCTTCTCAGGATCTTCTAGCTGTCATAGTCTCTGTTGAAAAGTTTGGTGTGATTCTGATAGGTCTGCCTTTATATGTTACTTGTCCTTTTTCCCTTACTGATTTTAATAGTCTTTCTTTGTTTTGTGCATTTGGTGTTTTGACTATTATGTGATGGGAGAATTTCTTTTCTGGTTCAGTCTATTTGGAGTTCTGTAGGCTTCTCGTATGTTTATGGGCATCTCTTTCTTTAGGTTAGGGAAGTTTTCTTCTATAATTTTGTTGAAGATATTTCCTGGACCTTTAAGTTGGGAATCTTCACTCTTTTCTGCAACCACTATCCTTAGGTTTAGTCTTTTCATTGTTTCCTGAATTTGTTGAACGTTTTGGGTTAGGAGCTTTTTGCATTTTTCATTTTCTTTGACAGTTGTGTCAATGTTTTCTATGGTATCTTCTGCACCTGAGATTCTTTCTTCTCTCTCTCTCTCTTGGTGATGCTTGCATTTATGACTCCTGTTCTCTTTCCTAGGTTTTCTATCTCCAGGGTAGTCTCCCTTTGTGATTTCTTTATTGCTTCTATTTCCATGTTTCCATATCCTGGATGGTTTTGTTCAATTCCGTCACCTGTTTCATTGTGTTTTCCTGTAATTCTTTAAGGGATTCTTGTGTTTCCTCTTTAAGGACTTCTACCTGTTTACCTGTGTACTCCTGTATTTCTTTATGGGAGTTATTAATGTCTTTCTTAAAGTGCTCTATCATCATTATGAGAAGTGATTTTAAATTTGAATCTTGCTTATCCTGTGTGATGGGGTATCCAGAGCTTGCTATGATGGGACAGTTGGGTTCTGATGATGCTAAGTAATCTTGGTTTCTATTGCTTATGTTCTTGTGCTTGCCTCTCTCCATCTGGTTATCTCTAGTGCTACCTGCCCTTCCTGTCTCTGACTGGAGCCTGTTGATCCTGTGATCCTCGTTGTGTGAAAACTTCTGAGAATCTAGCTGTCTTTGTTATCCTGTGATTCTGGGATCCTGTGATCCTGAGATCCTGAGTGTGTCAGAGCTTCTGGTAGTCAAGCTTCCTCTGGGATCCTGAAATTCTTGTGTGATCAAGCTCCTGAGATCCTGTGATCCTGGGTGTGTTAGAGCACTTGGTTGTCAAGCTTCCTCTGGGTGTTGTGGGACTGGGTGCAAAGCCAGCACCCAGGGTCTGCTCAGGGTACCAGCTTAGACCAGAAGGAATCCATGCCACTGGACAGGTAGGGGTTCCTGTGTGCCTGGAACCCGGGAGACTCAGTTATTCCCAGTGTTGGGGCAGTTGTTGTCGGCCCCTCACCTATGATTCTGAGCATTATATTGAGTTTTAATAAACTGTTAACTGATGTTATTAGCATCAGTAATGCTAATATAAATATTAATTTAATATAAATATTGTCAAGATTATAAACCACAATGACTCACAGGTTAATAATGTTGATGACACTGTAAATAGTGTGATCCAATTTAAGTGATGTTTCTGTAAAAATCAACACATTGGATGCTAAGTTCTGACCAATAGTAGGATTTCTAGAGTAGTTTGTGAGACTTGGCCAAGTTTAATATTTTTAGAAACAGTTTATCAAACTTGGAGCTTTATGACCACTACAGTGTTTATGAATGTTTATTTAGAAGTTATGTGAGCATTAAGTTCACAATTTTAGGTTTGACTTCTTTGAAGTATAATTGGAACACAAAGCACCGTCTTTTATTCTGATAGAATGTGAAAATATACTTGCTTATATTTATTAAATTAGATTTTCAAATGGATATGTAGGTGTTTTAAGCTAATGCTACTATCTTTTTGTATTTTTGCATTTCTGTTGGTCATATGTGAGTTACTCTTGAGTGGGCAATAGGGGACATTAAATCTAAAGTATATAAATTGCATGAAGAGACACAGTGGGTGTTTAGATGTCTTGTCTTAGCTCAGTCTTTCCCCTGTGAGACTACTGTAGGATGTCTCTTTCACATCTTCCTCTTCTCAAAGGATAAATGGGCTGAGAAAGAAATTAGTCAAATTATATCCCTTACAATACTCAAAAATAGTATAAAATACCTTGGTGTGACTCTAACCAAGCAAGTGAGAGATCTGTAGGACAAGAACTTCAAGTCTCTGAAGAAAGAAATTGAAGAAGACCCCAGAAGATGGAAAGATCTCCCATGCTCATGGATTGGCAGGATTAATATAGTAAAAATGGCCATTTTTACAAAAAACAATCTATAATGGAATCTCTATTAAAATTCCAACTCAATTCTTCACAGAGATAGAAAGAGCAATTCTCAAATTCATTTGGAACAACAAAAAAAATCTAGAATGGCGAAACTATTCTCAACAATAAAAGAACTTCTGGGGGAATCACCATCCCTGACCTCAAGATCTACTACAGAACAATAGTGATAAAAACAGTATTGTATTGGTACAGAGACAGACAGGTAGATGAGTAGAATAGAATTGAAGACCCAGAAATGAACCCATACACCTATAATCACATGATCTTTGACAAAGAAGCTAAAACCATGCAGGGAAAAAAAGACAACATATTCAACAAATGGTGCTGTTTTAAGTGGCAGTCAGCATGTAGACGAATGCAGATTGACCCATTCTTATCTCCTATACAAAGCTCAAGTCCAAGTGGATCAAGGACCTCCACATAAAAACAGATACACTGAATCTATTAGAAGAGAAATTGGAAAAGAGCCTCAAACACATCACCACAGGGGAAAACTTCCTGAACTGAACATCAATAGCCCAGGCTCTAAAATCAACTATAGACAAGTAGACAATGGCAAAGGACACTGCCATCAGAACAAAACAGCAACTTAGAGATTTCGAAAAGATCTCTACCAATTGTACATCTGATAGAAGGCTAATATCCAATATATACAAAGAACTCAAGAAGTTAGACTCCATACAACCAAATAACCTTATTTTAAAAATGGGGTACAGAGCTGAACAAAGAATTCTGAACTGAGTAATATTGAATGGCAGAGAAGCACCTAAAAAAATGTTCAACATCCTTAGTCATCAGGGAAATGCAAATCAAAACAACCCTGAAATTCCACCTCACACCAATCAGAATGACTAAGATCAAAAGCTCAGGTGACAGCAGATGCTGGTGAGAATGTGGAGAAAGGGGAACACTCCTTCATTGTTTGTGGGATTGCAAGCTAGTAAAAGCACTCTGGAAATCAGTATTATGGTTCCTCAGAAAATTGGAGATAGTACTATCTGAGGACACACCTATTCCACTCCTGGGCATATACCCAGAAGATGCTCCAACATATAACAAGGACACATGCTCCACTATGTTCGTAGCAGCCTTAGTTATAATAGCGAGAAGCTGGAAAGAACCCAGATGTCCTTCAACAGAGGAATGGATAGAGAAAAATGTGCATTTACACAATGGAGTATTACTCAGCCATTAAAAACAATTACTTCAATTCTTAGGCAAATGGATGGAACTAGAAAATATCCTGAGTGAGGTAACCCAGTCACAAAAGAACACACGTGATATGTACTCACTGATAAGTGGATATTGGGAAAAAAGTTTCGAATATCCATGATACAACTTACAGAGCAGATGAAGCTCAAGAAGAGGAAGACCAAACTGTGGATGCTTCAGTCCTACTTAGATAGGGGAACAAAATAATGAGGCTATGTTTTAAAGAGGACACATTTGATAATTTTCAGTACTCTGACCCAAAATTAATTATAGTAAGAAATGGTTTTAGAATATTTTCAGGATACTTGCTCTTTCCATTTTATATTAGATAGTTCACAAAAGACTGAATAATACATTTTGTTAAATAAATGTAATGGTCAATATTATGCATGTGACTAAATTTCCATGTGGAAGATATGAAATGCTTGTTAAGAACCAGCTTACTGGTCCTGGTGAGATAACTCACAAATAAAGGTACTTGCTGCCAAGCCCAGTGGCCTGTGTTTAATACCCAGAACCCACATAGTAGAAGTATAGAATCCATTCATGCAAGTTGTCCTTTGATCACACAAGCTCAATGACATGTGTGTACATGTGTACTCCTGCAGACATGCGTAATAAATAAATATTAAAAATAAATAAAAACCATTCTACTAAAAGAAAATGTTGCAATTTGGAAAGCATCATTTCTGAGAATACCGAAGATGATGCTCAATACATAGTAGGCATACAGATAAAGTTTCTGTAGCTGAATCGTTTCTTTCCTTCTGCTGTGCTTCACACACACACACACACACACACACACATTGTGTGTGTGTGTGTGTGTGTGTATGTGTGTGTGTGTGATAGGTAAGTGCTGCTTCCCTTGATAGGTTAAGTAGATAGGTTAAGTAGAACTAGCTCTTACAGAATCTAATATTTGTTCATTTGAAAGTCATCCCTGGCTTATTCTAAAAATATGTGTTTTTAGTTCACAGTGAGTGCATTGGATGATGTCAAGAATTCTGGTAATAGTCAAGACAGTCCAGTGCATACTTCTGAAGTACCAGCTATTCACAATGATGCAGTGTGTGTTGCTGTTACTCCGCAAACCACCACAGTTCTGCCAACAGACAAAGGCAGAGTTCCAGCAGAGACAGTAGGAATGGTGACTGAGACGACGGACCCTTCAGATATTTCAAATGTGAGTGCTGCTGACTGGGTAAGAACAACTTATCGGAATCCTGTATGAATATATTAAAAAGTATAAATATAGGTGTTGTTCATATGTATTATAACCTCATACTTTACAGAACAGGTATTATTTATATAAATGTCATTTCATTTTAACATTTTTCTAACAAAATTTTCAGATACTTAAAATTCTTACTAATTTGTAGAGGATAAAAATGATAATATAACAATTGCTCAGAATCATTTTATATGCAGTTTCATCAAGTGCATTTAATCAAGCTAGCATCCACATTAAAAATAAATCAGAAGGGAAAAGAACATGTATTCTGTAAGGTTTTCTTTCTTCAATATCTGATATTCCCATCCATGAGTAAGGATGCCTGCTGCTGCTGCTGCAGCCTGTTCTCCTCCTCCCCTCCTCCTCTTCCTCTTTCTTTTTCTCCTCTTCCTCCTCTTTTTTTTTTTTTTTGGTCAAGATTTTATGTAGTCTAGGTTGGCCTTGAATTCGTTGTGTACCTGAGAATGACATTGAATTCCTGATTTCCTATTTATACCTCCCAAATGCTAGGATTGCAGGAGTGGGTCTTCAAAAACAGCTGGAGTTGGTCTTTAAGATAAAGTTTATTTATCTTTAGTTCCAAGTCTGTGAAAATGCACTGACTGTGTAGTTTTGTGTTTTGTATGATTACTTAACCTCTGCTCCTTTATTTCTGTTGCTCATTTTAGTACTAATGCACCCACCCTGGGCTAGTCTTCACTAACTTCGCTTAAGTAACTTATTAAACGAATGGACACAGTTGTAAATGAGGTACACTATGATTAAATTTTTTAATGATTTATTTATTTTATGTATATGAGTGCACCATTGCTCTCTTGAGACACACCAGAAGAGCGCATCAGACCCCATTGCAGATGGTTGTGAGCCACTGTGTGGTTTCTGGGAATGGAACTCAGGACCTCTGGAAGAGCAGTTAATGCTCTTAACCACTGAGCCATCTCTCCAGTCTGTGATTAAAATTTTATTTAACCTTTTCTTTGTGTGTGTGTGTGTGTACACATATATACATATACATATGTATACATACATACATATTTTAACTTTTCCCTTTATATATGTATGTATATATGATATATGTACTTGGTATGAATGTTCATGCACATGTGTGTGGAGGCCAGTAGTGAGTGTCAGTATGTCTTCCTCTATTGTTCCCCTCCTTAAGTGGGACAGGGAGGTCACTAAAGCTGTGGTTCACAGGCCGCCTAGGGTGACTAGGCAGTGAACTCCAGGGACCTACCTGTTCCTGTTCCCTGTCCCACTTCTACTCCCTGGTTACAGATGTGTGATGCTGTGCTTGAGTTTTATGTGTGTGCTAGTCACCTGAAGTCAGATCCTATGCTTGAACGACAGGTACTTTACCAAATAAGCCATCTCCTGGGTCCCTAATTTTATTTTTTAAAAGAAAATTATATATAATGATTTCTTTTAAAGTTCAGTGTCTCAGGAAATCTGCAAATGATATTAGGTAAAATTCTACATCTTAAAGAGATAATCACAATAAGTAGGAAATTGATATGAGATATTTAAGTAAAGAAAAGAAACAAGTAAGACAGCAGAAACAAAATTAATGTTTACGTTCCTTTAATAAGATTGTATAAGTTTTTCTCTTCTTGTGTCTTTTAGTAATGAACTTTAAAAAAATGAACATAATTAAGACCAAGCAAGTAATTACTTCAACATAAGTTGTAAAATTTGTCGTATTTATACTTTCTGTTTCTGCAGCTAGAAAGCATATTAAGTTGTTTATTTTATGGTTTGATTATGGGAGGGCACTTTTATGAGTTGCTTTAGATTAATGTCACATGTAGTTTCTTACGTTGGGAGTAAGAGATTTCTTGCAATGGTGAGAAAACTGATTTTTTTTTCTTTTTTTTTTTTTATTGGATGATTTATTTACATTTCCTATGTTGTCCCCTTACCCCATCCCCCACCACCCCCTCGGAACCCCCAATCCCCTCGCCCCTCCTCCTTCTTCTCTGTGGATGTAATCTCTATCAACACCCCCCCACTCCCACCTCCCCACCCTCAAAATTCCCACTCCCTGGGGCATCCAGCCTTCATGAGGTCAAGGTTCTCTTCTTCCACCTATGCCCAGCAGGGCCCTCCACTTTTACATATTCAGCTGAAGCCCTGGATCCCCACCTAAGTGCTCCCAGGCTGGTGGTTTAGACCCTGGGAGCTGTGGTTGGTTGGTATTGTTGCTCTCCTCATGGTGCCTTAAATCCTTTGAGCTCCTTCAGTCTTCACTCTAACTCCTCTATTGAGAACCCCATGATCAGTTCAATGGCTAGTTGTGAGCATCTGCCTCTGAATATGTCTGACTCTTGAAGGCCTCTGAGGAGATATCCATATCAGGCTCTTATCAGCATGCACTTCCTGTCTTCCACATCAGCATCTACCTTTGGTGATTGCACATGGGATAGATACTCAGGTGGAGTGGTCTTGAGACGGCCCCTCCTTCAGTTTCTGTCCCTCACTTTGTCTCCATATTTGCTCCCTTGAGTATTTTGTTGCTCCTTCTAAGAAGGACCAAATCACCCCCACTTGGTCTTCCTTCTTTATGAGCTTCATGTGGCCTGTGAGTTGCATCTTGGGCATTTCAAGGTTCTAGGCTAATATCCAATAATCAGTGAGTGAATACCATGTGTGTTCTTTTGTGATTGGCTTACCTCACTCAGGATGATAGTTTCTAGTTCCATCCATTTACCTAGGAATCTCTCGAATTCATTGTTTTTAATAGCTGAGTAATACTCCATTGTGTAAATATACCACATTTTTTGAATCCATTCCTCAGTTGAAGGACATCTGGGTTCTTTCCAGCTCCTGGCTATTATAAACAAGGCTGCTATGAACATAGTGGAGCATATGTCCTTGTTACATGTTGGAGCATCTTCTGGGTATATGCCTAGGAGTGGTATAGCTGGATCCTCGGGTAATGCTATGTCCAATTTTCTGAGGAACCGCCAGACTGATTTCCAAAGTGGTTGCACCATCTTGCAGTCCCACCAAAAATGGAGGAGTGTTCCTCTTTCTCCACACCCTCGCCAGCATCTACTATCACCTGAGTTTTTAATCTTAGCCATTCTGACTGGTGTGAGATGGAATCTCAGGGTTGTTTTGATTTGCATTTCCCTGACGACTAAGGATGCTGAACATTTCTTTAGATGCTTCTCGGCCATTCAAGTTTCTTCCGTTGAAAATTCTTTGTTAAGCTCTATACCCCGTTTTTTAATAGGGAAATTTGGTTGTCTGGAGTCTAATTTCTTGAGTTCTTTGTATATATTGGATATTAGCCCTCTATCAGATGAAGGATTGGTAAAGATCTTTTCCCAATTTGTTGGTTGTCGTTTTGTCCTATTGACAGTGTCCTTTGCCTTACAGAAACTTTGCAATTTTATGAAGTCCCATTTGTCAATTCTCGATCTTAGAGCATATGCCATTGGAGTTCTGTTCAGGAACTTTTCCCCTGTGCCCAAGTATTCGAGGCTCTTCCCCACCTTCTCTTCTATTAGATTCAGTGTATCTGGTTTTATGTGGAGGTCCTTTATCCACTTAGACTTGAGCTTTGTACAAGGGGATAAGAATGGATCAATTTTCATTCTTCTACATGTTGTCTTCCAGTTGAACCAGCACCATTTGTTGAAAATGCTGTCCTTTTTCCACTGGACAGTTTTAGCTCCTTTGTCAAAGATCAAGTGACCATAGGAGTGTGGGTTCATTTCTGGGTCTTCAATTCTATTCCATTGATCTTCCTGCCTGTCTCTGTACCAATACCAGGTAGTTTTTATCACTATTGCTCTGTAGTACAGCTTGAGGTCAGGGATGGTGATTCCTCCAGAAGTTCTTTTATTGTTGAGAATAGTTTTCGCTATCCTGGGTTTTTTGTTATTCCATATGAATTTGAGAATTTCCTTTTCTAACTCTGTGAAGAATTGAGTTGGGATTTTAATGGGGATTGCATTGAATCTGTAGATTGCTTTTGGCAAGATGGCCATTTTTATTATATTAATCCTGCCAATCCATGAGCATGGGAGATCTTTCCATCTTCTGAGATCTTCTTCAATTTCTTTCTTCAGAGACTTGAAGTTCTTGTCATACAGGTCTTTCACTTGCTTGGTTAGATTCACACCAAGGTATTTTATATTATTTGCAACTATTGTGAAGGGTGTCATTTCCCTAATTTCTTTTTCAGTCTGTTTATCTTTCATGTAGAGGAAGGCTACTGATTTGTTTGAGTTGATTTTATAACCAGCCACTTTGCTGAAGTTATTTATCAGGTTTAGGAGTTCTCTGGTGGAAGTTTTGGGGTCACTTAAGTATACTATCATATCATCTGCAAATAGTGATATTTTGGCTTCTTCCTTTCCTATTTGTATCCCTTTGACTTCTTTTTGCTGTCTAATTGCTCTGGCTAAGACTTCCAGTACTATATTGAATAGGTAGGGGGAGAGTGGGCAACCTTGTCTAGTCCCTGATCTTAGTGGGATTGCTTCAAGTTTCTCTCCATTTAGCTTGATGTTGGCTACTGGTTTGCTGTAAATTGCTTTTACTATGTTTAGGTAGGGGCCTTGAATTCCTGATCTTTCCAAGACTTTTATCATGAAGGGATGTTGAATTTTGTCAAATGCTTTCTCAGCATCTAGTGAGATGATCATGTGGTTTTTTTCTTTAAGTTTGTTTATATAGTGGATTACATTGATGGATTTCCAAATATTGAACCATCCCTGCATTCCTGGGATAAAACCTACTTGATCATGATGGATGATTGTTTTGATGTGTTCTTGGATTCGGTTTGCTAGAATTTTATTGAGTATTTTTGCATCGATGTTCATAAGGGAGATTGGTCTGAAGTTCTCTTTCTTTGTCGGGTCCTTGTGGGGTTTGGGTATGAGTGTAATTGTAGCTTCATAGAACGAATTGGGTAGTGTTCCTTCTGTCTCTATTTTGTGGAATAGTTTGAAGAGAATTGG